CTGTGAACAGTGTCTTAGTCCTGATCACTCAGCACAATCAAGCATAGGCAATGATATTTCAGCTGTATATCAAAATCCAGCAAGGCCTGCAAACTGTTCTTGATGCATCCACTCTATTTACTAACATTGCTGCCAGCCGTGGAAAGCCAGTTGCAATGCAGCCAAAAGTTCCACGGGCACTGGCAATGCTTCATCTCCGTCCAGGACCAGAATGCGTAAGACCTTACCTGCAGATAAGGGAAGTCTTCTGTAACTATTGATGGACATTTCTCATTTTATTATCAGGTAAAAACATTCCTTATAAAGATGTGGAATTGTATTTGCTTATTTGCTTTTTATTAGTGTAGCGCCCCCTTGACCACCAGAGGCATAGCATGGACCCCTAAAAGGCAGAGGGGGCTGACATTTCACTCTCAGGGGCAGATCCTAGGCCAGTGAAGGGATGTATGATCAAGGAAAGTTGGGCACCAGTCACTTTAAGTGTCTTTTAAACGCTTTATTGGGTAACTATAACTGGGAAAGAGGATATAGGGCTTAGGACATCCATGGCAAATATAGAAACAGAGGGGGCGTGGCCGGGATGTGAGACTGAGCAGACGTGTCTCACTGCAGCTCCCGACATCCGTGCTACATCCTGACCCTTAACTGGCTGACAATTCATATAATCCCCAGGTTGTCTTTCTACAAGAGACCCACCTACTGGGCAATAAAATCTTGGCCCTGCAGAGAAGATGGATAGGAGTGGCACAGGCTTCGCTTATTGATGAAACGGTTGAGATGCCACTGCGGCCTCACTTGTCTACCTTCTGGTCAATTAATAAGGAGGGCTGCTTGTCTCTCTCTGTCTCTCAGATGGAGTCCCTGCTAAGAGTAGAGGGACTGATTAAACCATTATCCACCATTTATAAATTGATCTCAGGTGGGGGAGGGGGGTCCCTGGAGAGATGTAGAAGAAACCAGCCTAGGTACACAATTATGGCATCCGAATGGTGGTTGCAAACCTGGTAGGGGGATGCCTAGAGGGAGAGTTATGGCTTTCCTGGAATTTTAGGGGAGGCAATGTTGTACAAGGATGGGATTGTGGTGAGAGCATAGGGAATCCTTCCACTCCCGATATATATTCTTTAACTGCCTTTGACTGAATCTGGTACTCTGCATCTTTCTGGGAAGCGCTTAAGAGATTGGCTGTATGGTTCACATCAGGGAGCGGATGGGGGGTGGATTGGTTGTAGTTGTAATTATATTGTAATAATTTACCTGTGCCTAGGGGAGGGGGAGGGTTATGGTCAGAGGGTTAGTTATTGGACCTTGCATGGTCCTTTACGGTTGTTGGCATACGTTATGCCGTAATGTATACACTGTTGTGTATGAATGGGGTGCTATGTTGGTGCCCGAATGTTACTGTAATGTAATTGTTTACTATGCAAAATGAATAAAAAGATTTAAAAAAAAAAAAAATATAGAAACAGAACAGAATTCCAGACTCACCAGTCCCTTCCAGTATTCCACAGTGCAGAATCAATAAGAGAACAGGCTGACACTGGGTATGAGAGCCACAGCTGAACAGGGTAGGCACTAGATCGTCAAAAGGAGAAACACCAGACTTGCTACTGAGGTCCATTCCAGTATCAGGCACCTCCATTAGCCATCCAGCATTTCAGGTTCTCCTCCTCAATCAGTATCAGACCCTCCGGGGTACACATGTAAGGCCTCCTCCAGGCTTGAGGCCTAGTCAAACATTTCCCACATTTGAGCATTTCCACCCCCAGGCCAAGCCCAAGGGAAGGCTGGAACTAGACTGAGCACATGGCAATTCCCCTGAGTACATATGCACTCGCCCAGCATGCCCCACTGCCCATGAAACTTCCAGTTCTTTCCTCATAATGTTCCCCCATTGGCTGTCCCACACTGCAGCAGGATCACACCCCACTCAGGCAGGTACAATCAATAACAGAACACTTGGAATAAACCAGATAATAACCAACTACAAATCAGCTAGACTGATTACAGTACCAGCAACACAACATTTCTAGTAGGCACTCCACATGAGGTGGTAGGGGCTATATTAATACTACTGTTGTTATCATTATTATTATTATCAAACATTGAAGCAGAAGAGTTCAATAAAAAAGGAAAGCTTGTAAGTTGCAGCTACATTTTCCAGTATACAAGCAAAGAAAAATTCCCTGAAAACCTTTTCTGCTGTAGAGAAAAGTGGGGAACAGTTGAAACCCGTCTGCTTTTTATTGCTGTGTGTGTTCCCTTTGGGGATTTATTATCACTTTCTGTCCCACGGACAGTTATTGCTGGGATATCAAATATTTTACAGTTGTCACAAGAACTGAAACCTCTCAATGGTGACACTTATTCTGGAGACCAGGTGGGATCTCTTCTTACTTTGGAGATATTTCTTCTTCCTTCCTTTTTTTGGCTCCAACACAGGGAGCGAGAGGAAATCTCCCGATGATGACACACATTTGTTTATGTCCTAACTAGGGATACACCAAAACTAGTATCGGTGCCGATACCGAGTATTTGGGTGAGTACTCGTATGCCCCAAATGCTCCGATACTTTCCCCGATACCGGAACTGGCGGTCAAAGGAAGATTTTCTCTCACCGGAAGTGACGTAGGGAAACATAGAGCCAGCTTCCCATGCGATCAGGAAGCTACACAGTGAGTAATGACCTGCCTCCCATCTTCCTGATTGGCCAGGAAGCCGGCTCCTTGCTTATTGCCCGGGAAGTAGGCCTACTGGCCAATCAGCATTGAGCCGGCAGAACGGCTCAATGCTCAATGAGAAGTGTGAGAAGGTTGACAGCATGGAGCATGTGCAAGAGAGGATTGGGGAGGGTATTACAGAGGTCTGTAGGTTACAAAAAAGAAGTGTAGAAGTCATGTACACTAGAGAAGTGTGGAGTGTCTGGCATAGGGCAGTGTACATAGAGGAGTGCATAATGCTGAGCACTTGCCAGTTTTCTTGGTGCAAATTAGATCAGCCAATCGGCATCATGTTTGATTCTCAATGCAGGATGGCTGCCAAAGTGAGACTTCCACACTTGTGGGACTGTGTTGGAGTGGAGGGCAGACATGTCACTTTGAAATGTGGAGGTTTCGGATCAGGCTAAGGAGCACTGAACACTTGCAGAACAGGGCTGAAGAGGATTGGGAGTATGACACCAGCAAGTTGCCCTGGTCAAGCCCAGTGGACAGGGATGGCAAGACTGCAAATAAAATGCTTACAAGTGATCATATCTGGAATTATTAGATCCATGAACAATCAGGAAGACGGGAGGTGGGTTAATACTCGCCACCCGGCTTCCTGATTGTTCATGGATCTAATAGGATATGATCACTTGTAAGCATTTTATTTGCAGTCTTGCCATCCCTGGCATAGCGCCAGGCACGAGCGGGGCTGGAAAGGACGTTTTTAAAAAAATCCAGTTTAATTACAACTGCCAGACAGCAGGTGGTTAAAGTGGCACTAAACTCAGCAGTTCAATATTAAAAATACATTCAAGTACCATAACTATTAACAAAAATGTATCTTATTTGTGTATTACTCAGCTGTAGATCCTCAAATCATCTCTGAATTGGTGCTGACACTGTCCTTCCTTCTGGAGGGTGGCTACTTTTATTTCCCATGATCCCTGTGTGTTGTAAAGGAGCCACCACTTCAAGCTCACTCCCGGGATGGACTACAATCTCACCTTTAGTTTACTAATTTGTATTGAGATTGTAGTCTATCCCAGGAGTGAGCTTAGAGCAGTGACTACAGGTTTAACTCCTGAGTTTAGTGTCACTTTAACATTACATAACATTACATAGAAAAGGGAAAAGGTAAGTTTGGAGTTTTTGGAAAAAAGCAAGTAAAAAGTTAGGCTTCAATTGTTAAATATTTAATATAATACTCCTATAATAAATGTATTATTTTGTAAGTTATACTATGTGGATGGGAACATGGTAACAAATATAAAGTAGGCATTATCCGAATTAACAGAAACTGCTAAAGTGGAAATACACTTTAAAACCAACAAACATACAGCTAAACTCTTCATATATATATATATTTGTTCCAAAGTATTATGGATATTTTCCTCCACTGCATTTTAATCCAAAAGCACAAAAGGCAGCTGCTTACAAAATTGATTTTTTTCTGTTCTACAAAACAGACCAGTCCATATATTATCTCTTACAAACATGTATATGTTCTTAGAATAGCTCGTGCAGAAAATGTGTTGTATTGTATTCAGTGCATTCTTCTGCTGGTGACTGTGCAGGTGCTCCTGGCAGGCAAGGGGTTAAACCCACCCATTGTAGGCAGCCTGCGGGTTTGGCAATGCATTTTCTGGCTGATTGCTTTTGATGGCTGTGTCTGCTCCTTCCTTTTGCCCTTTTCACTTCAAGCACAGTACATATGTGAGTGCTCTCCTCTCTCTCCCCCCTCTGCCTGCCCCTCCCCTGGCTTGCTCCTGGCTGCAGTTTATTAATTAAACTGGGTGTAGCTGAGTGCCCATTTGCTGCTGTCTTCATTAGCACTCAGCTCCTCCAGAGGAGACAGATCCACCCAGTTATCAGCTGGGAGACAGCAACATCCCTGGACCATCCGAATCTTCATCCATCTCCTGCCATTCTCAGCTCACCTTCTAACTTTTACCATCTACTTTAGCTTTGCCTTCCTTATCTGAGGGTTAATGGTCCCCTTTTGGAGAATGTGACAGATCGGGAGAGAGTCCCCCATCTGCAGCAACTTTTCCTTGTGTGGATTTCATTGTGTGATCAGAGAGAGTTGTGTGGATCTCAGGGAGGGTGGTGGTGGTGGGGGGTGTCTTGTCTCCTCCTGATCCATTTCCCAAAAGCAGCCAGACAGTGACATGCAGCATGATCAATGACAAGAGCCAGTGCGGAGCCCTGCTGCATGCTGAACACTCTCCAGCTTGTGGGCTGAGATGAACTAGACTGTGCCAGCTGGGAGTTGCACCACCCTGTGTCACCGGACCGCGGGTACCGGACAGCATGGGCCAGTCGGGCTGAGGGATTACCAGCTCCGCAGCCCCGCTCTGTCTTTATCCAGACACGCCCTGGAGACAGCACAAGTGGATTATTATTGCAGAGGGGCAACTTTCTACCTCCTGTAGCGCTGCCACTGTCTGCCCACCATGGCATCTGTCAGGTGGGCACTGTGCATCTTCTGCCTGGCTCAGGGTAAGTCTTCTGGGCAATGTGTTTTATCCTGCTTGTGATGAGTAGAGTTCAGTCTTTAGCACGATGTATTGGCAACGTCTGTACAGTGAAGTTTTAGAATATAAAGCAAGCCAGCTAGATAACATTGCACATCAGAATTAAAAAAAAGTTTTATAATAGAAGACAAGCCGGCTATATAATATAGCAGATTATAGCTTTAAAAAAAACAGCTCTACTAAGGGAAGTTTAAAATAGAAGCCAAGCCAGCTAGATAACATTGCAGATTATAATAAAGAAAAACTACCCCTTCAAGGAAAATGTATAATATAAGGCAAGCTAGCTAGTATATAACATTGCTGAGTATAAATTAAAAAAACTTGCACTTTAATGGAACTTTTAGTATAGAAGGCAAGCCAGTTTTATAACATTGCAGATTATAATTAATATATTATAATATTATACTTTAAACAAACTTCCCCTTTAAGGGAAGCTTTATAACAAAAGGCAAGACAGCTATATAACATTGTAGATTATAATCATTACTGTATTTGTTGTTGTTAGGGGGACCTGATGGCTAAAAGTAATTGTATTCTCCTTGCTAGAAAATAGACTAGAAAGAAGAATTTTATTTTACACAGGGTATTAATATTTGGGTACCAATATAAAGCAGGATGTAATTAAAACTTGTTATGTTTACCTAGTCTTTACAGACTATTGAAGTATCCTATGTATGTGTGAATGCCTCATTTAGCAGGTTCCTTGGACTGAAGTCTTCTAGCAAAGGTTCTTCTTGAGCTCAGGGGATACTTCAATCATCCTTGGTATCATCCTATTATAAGAAAAGCACTAGAAAGAAGAATGTTATTTAACACACATTATTGATAATTAGGTGTGTCCACAACATTTACATGTTTTACAATAACGTAATTGTTACTATTCAGCAGAGCTGGTAAGAGGGAAAGGGGAGTTGTTATCCAAAGCAACATATGAGGATTCTTTAACTTTTCTAATGAAGAAACCTGGTTGACTCCTATGGGAAACAGATTACTTATTTCCTATTATTACAGTAATTTATATTATTCTGGATGGGACATGACAGACAGCACCATCAGTTTACACAGTGCTTTACATACTGTACATTCAGTCTCTGCCCTGAAGGTGCTTACAATCTAAGGTCCTCTATCTCATATATGCTAGTGCCATTCTAGACAGGAGCCAGTGAAGCTACCAGCATGTTTTTGGAGTGTGGAAGGAAACCCATACAAACACAGGAGCACATACAAACTCCATTCAGAAATTATCCGGTTTGATCCTGAATTTGAACTGGTGCCCTAATTACTACAAGGCAGAAGTGCCTTGTAGTAATTAGCAATAAGCAGCTAACCACTGAGCTACCCTTGCCCATTTTCCTGTATTAATAAATCTGTTTTATTGTCTTGTATTTCTCCAGGTTTGCTTATGTAATGGGACACCTAATACAACAGGATGATGGACAGGTATCACTAAATCCCCATTTACATCTGAGCGTTTTGTCATATGTTTCCCTACGTATGACAAATTGTGCCTGTTCACTTGTAGCTCGACAGTTGTCAAATGAGGAAGTACATGAACGTAAAGTGACACTAAACTCAGGAGTTAAATCTTAAAAAATGCATTCAAGTACCGTAACTATTAACAACACTGTACTTTATTTGTGTATTGCTCAGCTGTAGATCCTCAAATAATCTCTGAATTGGTGCTGACACTGTCCTCACTGTCCTTCCTTCTGGAGGGTGGCTACTTTTGTTCCCCATGGTCCCTGTGTGTGAAAGTAGCCACCACTCTAAGCTCACTCCTATGATGGACTACAATCTCACATGTAGATTACTAATTTGTATTGAGATTGTAGTCCATGTCGGGAGTGAGTTTGGAGCGGTGGCTACTTTTGCAGACACACAGGGATCATGGGCAACAATAGTAGCCACCCTCCAGAAGAAAGGACAGTGTCAACACAAATTCAGAAATGATTTGAGGATCTACAGCTGAGTGATACAAAAATAAGATACATTTCTGTTAATAGTTATTGTACTTGAATGTATTTTTAAGATTTAACTCCTGAGTTTAGTGTCACTTTAATTGGGTGTTTAAGTTTTCTCGCATTTTATGTGCCTAAAGTACTGCTTTCTATTGGTCAGAAAAAAAACGACTGAAGCTTGATGACATATGCAAAATGCTTTTAATAAACTTCAATAATGCGTGTTTATGTGTGCAAAAATGTGCCCAAAAAATGTTTAAAAACACCTGAAAATGGCTCAGCTCAGGTGTGCACACAAGTTGATATTAGGATTATTCATTAGTTCGGCAGTGAGTGTGTCTGCCCCGTGACGCACGAGGAGCGGCGTACAGGTGACTTGCTGCTGTCCAGTCTGATAAAGATCCAAGCAGCTGCCTCTTCCAGTAATGTAAACACCAACCTTGCTGTATAGTTCTTATCTCCATATGTCAGTGTTTGCTCATAAATTTCAGGCATACAGGTGAAACAAATCGGAGCTGGAGAATAAACGCATACAGACTAAGCCAAAGGTACTGAGGACCAATGGCAGGCAGAGGTAGATGTGTAGTGGATGTTGAGATGGAACATAAAAATACAAATAATAATAATAATATTTGTGTTTCCCTTTGAATTAGTTACAAAATAAAATTATGTTTGTTTTTACAGTACAAGAAAACTCTTTGCTGGCTACAAATCTGTTCTCAGGTTTTGATGACTTAGGTCAATACATTTAGATGGTGGTTATACATAGAAGACTGAATCCCACACACCTTGTTTGTGTTTGTAGCCCCTCCTTGACAATTAGAATTGTACAGTCATACCATACTTGTTACAATTTGGTTGGATTTCAAGCAAAATACTTCCAGCTCATTTAAACACTGTTTTCTGCAACCTCATCTACTTTTGTGATTGACTTTGACCTCATATGACCATATATAAGTTATTGCAACCTGATTTAGTAGATTGTTTAATTTGTTTGTAGTGTGTGGCTGTATTTATAGAGCCCCATCCCCATTGTGATGCAGAAGGATTTGAAATTGTTGTTTTAGGTTATATGAATGAGGTAAATCACAAAGTGCAGTGACCTATGGGAACAATTGTTCTGGCTGCTGTAAACTGATGAATGCTGATCGGTTACTAAGCCATGATTCATATCTGAACGTCCTGTATCTTGAAGCTCAAAGCTGCAATACTCTTAACAACTGAATCCTCTTTCTAGTAACTAGCTTTCCATTGGCTAAAACAAAAGCTCTCAAGACTGAATATGCCTGAAAAAAAAAACGCACAATAAAAAACACAAAAACATCTGTAGATGTTCACGCTTAGGTGTGAATGCAGGCTAATGGGTAGGGCACTCAAAGCTCTTTGCATTCTTCCATGAAATAGATTTGTAAGGTCGGGTTCCAGAAGTCACAGTGATACTTTATATGTTTCTGTGGTTCAGAATCAAGTAGTTTTTGTTATGACAGTCTGTGGGGATAAACCATTATTCCACTACTGCCTGCATGGAAGTTATATAGGCTCCTGTTATTTACTGTCTGCGCTTTATGTATTCAAGGCAGAGAAAATCATTCCAATGGCAGTTTTTCTTTGAGCTGACTTTCATTTTACCCTGCTTCATAATTTTATCGTTTGAAATTAATTTTATGTTCCCTGGAAAGAGACTTCTGTCCTCTTCCTGCAGCAAATGTTCATTACAGAAGTGATTTCATTACAGAGGCACTTTAATGTCCTGTAGCCAATTCACTGGCTAATTTTTATGTGGCCCGTGTTACAGCAGCCGTTAGAGCAATATGTGTTTGCTGCAGTATTATATAAAATACTGCGCAGCATCCAAATGAAAGGGTTGATGTAAAACTTTTGTGTGTGCTTCCACACCAAGAGACAAGGAAGACAACTGCTAATTGTCCCTCAGTTGTAAGCCCTCAGATATGCATTAGCTGTTACCTACTGACCTTTCACTATTAATAAATGTATACTAGACCAACTATATGTTTTCAGCATTCTCATCCTTTCTTTAACCCAAAAGACTTAACTGTTCTGACACAAGACTTAACTGTTCTGCTAATTGTCTACCTGTTATTCCATAACATTACCTACTTTTAGTTCAAATTATATTCTTTCTGGTTGAGATAAGTCAAGTTTGTCAGTTTGTTAGACTTGACAGCTGCCAGTCTAGTGCCCACAATGTTATCACCCTAATCCTTGATCCTTTGTTCCTATTGTCCAATATTATTTCCATCAATCAATGCCAGCATGAGTCTTGAGGAAGGGGTAGTTGTGAGCCCCTGAAATGTGATGGCTGTTACCTATTGACCTTTTATCAGGATTAATAAATCTATACTGGACCATCTATATACTTTTGGTGCTCTCATCCTTCACACTTTTTTTAAGCGAAGAGATAAGAAAGACGCAATACTTAAGGTCTGTTTGGCTTGTTGTCTACCTGTTACTTTCATAACATTACCTATATTGTTCCATTTATATTCATTCTGGTAGAGGTAAGTCAAGCCAGACTTTAATAAGACAGATAGCATAAAGTTAAGGCAACCAGTCAGTTTTCACAATTCTGCTTTATACCGGTGTAAGATGAAATCAGGTTGCTATGAGTTCTGACTTTTGCCCCATTATTTTTCTGTTCACTGCTTTTTTAAATAAGATTGCCAATGTTGAAAAGCACCAGCACAAAACTGATATTCTAGTCTTGGTAGAAGGTCAGGGGGTTGTCACATCCACCAATGTTCTATGTATTGCTCAGGTACTCTGGTAGAAACATCTACGCAATTGAGATCCCAGCTCCACCTGTAGGGGGTTTTTCTTTTTTTTTCAGGACTGTTACATTAGGGAAACTGATGCAGGAGGAATGAGACTCCTTGTTGCAATAAGAGGGCTGAGACTCCAAGGATGGTAAGGGTGGAGGCAGAGCTAGGCTCTTAATTGGGGAGACCAATGAGAGACCAATTTGTATCTGTGAGACCTGTAATTATCT